GATCTGGGACACGAACCGCGGTCGACTACATGGGAGTCCAGTGACATAGCCATTACGCTAACTGCTGGTTCCCACCGCCCACCATATTTTCAGGTACATCCTAAATATGTAATTTCATCCAAAATCCTAAATAAATCATTTTATCCAGGCATCTTTGTCAGGGCTTTTAAAATGAAAAAAGAATAAGAGTGTTTTAATACCATCAAATAACACACCAGTATCTGAACCCCAGCTGCCCCGTGAACATCTCGGCCTCTGGAGTGCTTTGACCAGGTCCCTGCCTGCTGGGGGCTGGTGCTGTCCTGTGTCTGCTCTCCCGGAGGCGGCCCTGTTCTCTTCTGTCTCCCTCGTTATGTGTTGGAGGAACTGGCCTGCACTGAGGGCAGCTCTGCAGTGCGAGTTAATGTGCCATTCCCTGCAGGCCAGTGGCCAGGACTGCACTGACTTGTATGCTCCGGCGGGCCTCCTTAGGTCGGCGCGCCTCCTGGGGGGCTCTGCTGCGCCCGGACCGCCCGAGTGCCATGCGTGCTCATGCCTGCTTCCGAGCCCCTGAGCACGGCCCGCGCCGCCCCACCGCGTCTGTGCTTCGCCCGCGTCACCCCAAGCGGACGTCCACTGGGTGCCCGCTGTGTGGTCAGAGGGGACAGCAATAACCCAGGCTCTGCTTTCTTTTTAAGAGAGATTTTTGCCATAGGGTACGTGCGCTTGCTGTAGAGACAGAGAGGGACAGAAAACGAGAGATCACTCCCCTCCCGAAGAAGGCCACACAAGCCCATCCCCTCAATTCTCGGGATTTTATACGCACACACGCCCAGAGTAGGTTTTAAGCCCCTGCCTCCAGGACTTGAACCATGTTCGGCCCTGTGGGAGTCCAGCAATGTGACCATGACACCATCTGCTGGTCCTGACCAGGCGCATTTCAGCCCCCACCGACCACGTGGAGCAGAAGAGGGGATGGGCTTGCAATGCAGCACATCAGATGGGTGCAGGCGGGGCGGTGACACCAAAAGGCATGCCCTCGTTTTTCAGAGACACAGGCTGTGGAGACTTGCAGGACAAGCAGGCACTTGAACTAGATTTGGAAGGAGGGTGGAGGTTGGCCAGGAAACCGAAGGGAGAGAGAAGTCGTTTCAGGCAGATGGGACAGCTCGGACAGAAGCCTGGAGGTCTACGGCCGTGGGGTGGCTACTGATGCCACGTGGTGTACTGGCCGAGAGCAGGTCGGGGGCCTGTAGTAAGGGTTCGGATCTCGCTCTCGAGGCAGGCAGTCAGCCCAAGGGACTCACGCCGGAGAGTGGTGTGGTCAGGGCACGTTTCCAACAAATCTTCCCAATTCCTTATTTTGAAAGGGTAACACATTTGCAAGTTACAAACATACTACAGAGCGATCTCATGTACCCTTCACCCTGTGTTTGCCGATGGTTGTGTATTTAGTTAAGTGCAGAATGCTGTCAAAGCCAGGAAGCCGGCACTGGCCCGAGGTGTGCACCGTCCTCTGTCACATGGCTGTGTGGAGTTTTGTACCACTGCCACCAGGAGGGAGCTCGTTCACAGCCCAAGTTCTCCGGACGCTCCCCTCCTAGCCGTACAAGTCACCCCACCCAGCACCTCTGGCAGCCACATCTGGATGGTTTGTCATTGAGAACGTGTACATGGAATCATACAGTATTACCCCCCCTTTTTTTAATTTTTTGCCATAGGGTGCATGTGGTTGCCAGTGAAAGAGAAAAAGAGAGAGAGAGGAAGAGAAAGAAAGCAAGAAATAACCCCCTGGGAGGATGGCCACACCACAGTCCCTTCTCCCTACTCCCCTCTTGGGATTTTGAGCACACATGTACATGCACCCAGCATGATTTTCAAGCTGCTGGGTCCAGGCCATGTGGGGTCCAGAGCCTTGTCTACCATGCCACCTACTGACCCAGTTGGCAGCCTTTGGAGACGGGCTTTCCTCACTCAGCGCGGTGCCCTGAGAGCCGCCCGGTGCTTGCATGCACCGAGAGTGGCCGACTGCCACGCCATGGCGTGTCGGTCCATTTGCTGCTGCTGTAGCGGACACCGCAGACCTGGTGATCGGCAGTGATGGGAATGCGCCTGGCCCACGGATCCAGAGCTGGCAAGTCCAGGAGCGCGGCACCGGCCTCTGCGCTTCCTCTGGTGCTTCCTCTCCCCATGGCAGAGGCAGAAGGGCAGGGGAGCAAGAGAAGGTGTGTGTGGGGATGAGTGCGTGAAGGGCACGAGCTCAGGACGGGGTGGCAGAGCGCACCATAGCGAGCCCATGCCCCAGGACCCTGACATCAATCCTGCGTGTGGGCGGAGCCCTCGTGGCCAGGTCACAGACCCATCGGCACTGCGGCGTTGGGGATTGAGTTTCCAAGGGCTTCAGGGGCACATGGAAACCATAGCCCGGGGGTGGACGCGCTGTTTAACCCTGTGCCCACTGGAGGCCGTCTGGGCAGCTCCCCGTCACGCACTTACTGCCGACAGGACCGTTAGGGTAATGCTCCGGAGCTTTCATGTAGGGCGTGGACAGGTGTCTCGCTGAAGTGCGGTGTGCTGTGATTTGGAAGAGGCCAGAAGAGCTCTTTTGCTGCGGCCAGGTCCGGAGCCATGAGAAGGCCTTGCCAGAGCTCGGAGCACGGGGCAGGAAGGGACATGGCGGGGCAGGGGCCTGGGCAGGGAGGAGTCCTCACCATGGCATGATTGGGCGAGGGGTTAGCCACCGTGTCTGTGTGGTGCTATACGCGCCAATCTTAGGATCTGGGGCTCCAAGGGTGGCCCTGAGTGGCCGCGGGACTCTGGGTTATTGAAGAAAGGTGACTTTGTTGGGCTAAGCTCTTTTTCATAAGAATCACAGTAGGAAAATAGATTAAAAAAAAAAAACGGAGTGGGGAGGTCAGCAGCAGGTATTGAAACAAAGAGGGTGATTGTGGGAATCTGTTTCTAGCCGTGACATCGGCCAATCGAAATGTGTCCTGGGCCCTGGGGTTCCGTGGGTGGAGAGGTAGCTGAGTCTGTGGCTGTCCCGGTCATCCTCCCAGAGAAGGGGCAAGCAGAGAGGGTGTGGGAGGCCGCGTCCTCCAGAACAGCCCTCGGACGCCGGCTTCACTGTCCGCATCAGGTGAGAGAGGTCGGACTGCCATGTCGGGAGGGTCATGAACCCAGCGGTCA